TAAACCGGGGGGGGGGGGGAAATCATTTTAAAAAGTGTTTGCATTGCAAAGCGAAATGTTGAAAAGTAGGAAATACCAAACCTAAGATGTGATGCATCAGGGCTTTATCTCCTTTCTAATACTTTTTGTTAACAGTAACTAATATGACTCTTTACCCATATAAATGTCTAATCCCCTTCACAGGCTAGCTCAGTTTTTGGCCTCAACAATATCCAGTTACAAAGATATGCACTGTGTAATTACATATTGTGTAAGGACATTTGTACACACCGGGGGGTTTACTTTAGTTTAATTCTCCCTAAATTGAAGCAGTGGGTCTTTAAAAACACTGCTTCAATTTAGGGCAAAGTAAACCCCCCTGGCGTGTACACAAGGGTCTGGCCTGACCCTTAACTGCCTCTCCAGCGGTGGGAAGGGAAGGACAAGCTGCCAGCAGGCCAAGTGGTCCCTGAGCTGCCTGTGGGGTGCTTCACTCCACAGCAGCAGCAGCGCCCCCCAGGCAGCACCTGCCCACAAACACTCGGCCCAAGTTGTCCTGGAGGGCACCACAGCTGCAGACTTGCTGCTTTCTTTCCCCCCCTCCCGCTTCAGTGGAATCTGCCTGCACACACTGCCGCCATTGCACAGCCCCTGAAATGCATGAGGCCTGGTGCTTCCCTCTGTGGCAAACCAAACCACCCTGCAGATGTTTTATTTTGCTGCGTCCCAAAGTCATTTAACATGCATTATGCCACTGACACATGCAAACAGCCCGCCATTAAAGCGCATTACGCCACCAACAAGTGCAAACAGCTACACCATTAAAGCGGTGCAAAAGGACATTAAGCTGCTTTAAAGGCCAATTTTGTGGCATGTACATACGGCCTAAGAAAGCACTTCCTTTAGTTGGCTTTGCATTTGCCAATCCTCCCATAACATTAAATGTCTTGTTCTTGTGATTGGAAACAAGGGAGAAGAGAAGCCTCCAATGAACCTTGTCTAATATATATAATTTATCTTTTTCAGTTCCTGTCTTACTCATTTCCCTTCTCCCATACACAATTTCAGACTTTTCCGTCTCCCTTTTTTCCTACCCCTACCCACCCTTTTCTTAACTTTATCCAAGTACATGATCTCCACCCTGAGACAGGGTGTCAAATACCATGCACAGCATTCCAAAAGAGGCTGTACTACAGATTTCTATCCCGGCATTAGAGAAGATACACTCCAAGTCAAAGTCTTCATTGAGTTCTCTAAAATGATGCCCAGGTTGGCTTCCCAACATGGTACAAACGATATAGGAGCCTATAAGTCAGGGGTGGGCAATTATTTTGGCTGGAGAGCTGCTTAATGACTTCTAGTAAACTGTCAGGGGCTGCAAGGATAGCCCTGCCCCTTGACAGGTGCCCCACCCCCTGATCGCCATCTTGAGCCCAGAAGTCCCAACCCCTAAACCTTGACCTTTGCAACTGGGAGTCCTTCCTCTGGAGTGCTGGAAGCCTCACATGGAGGCATGGAGGCTGCCCAACCCAATGACACATGGCACCAGCCTGCAGTGCTGGGAGCCCCATGTGCTGACACAGAACTAGCCTGGTCTGGCTCAAAGGCTCATGCCAGTGGCCCAGGTCAGGCAGGCTCCTTGCCACCACATGCAGCTCCCAAGATTCAGTAGGAGCTGTGCGCTGCCAGGAGGCTCTGCCTGCCATGAGCCATAAGCAACCCAAAGGCCAGCTGCTTGCTGCTGCCAGCGGAGCCTGTGCACAATGAGGGAGGGAAGATGTATGGTGGGTGGGGCCACATCCACCCACAAACCACACCACCCCCAACCTGACACCCACATGCACCATCAGGCTGGGCAGGCTCCATGCTGTCATGTGCAGCTCCTGGCTCTCCTTCCAGGAGCCGTGCACCAATTGGGCCGGCTGGGCTGGCTCCATGCCAGCACATGGGGCTCCCAGCACCGCAGGCATTAGCTCTCCTCCCCACTCAGCATCTGTCCAGTCACGTGTCATTGCACTTGGTGCGCCTCCACACAAGGCTCCCAGCTGGAGAGCCAGGAGCCCCATGGAGGTGGAAGCACAGAGCCCACCTGGTCCAATGGCGCACAACCTCTGAAAGTCCAGCTCCTGCTAGCTTTCAGAGGGGCAACTGCAGGCTGGGAAACTTGTTTTTGGAGGGGCCCCACAGGCCAGACAGAATGGTCTACTGGGCTGGATCCAGCCCACAGGCTGTATTTTGCCCACCTCATCTATAAGTTATCTAAGCAGAGATTTTTTGTTTCTTATCCAAGGTGTAGCACTTTGTGCTAATCAGCAAAGCACTTCATTAACCATCTTGCTGCTCATATTCTTAGATGGTGGCATAGAATGTAAATACTTTTACTACCAAGATTTTAAGAACTGGGACCCCAACTCAGCCCTGACAGTAAAAGGATCTTTCATTCAGCAAGGAAAAGAACTAACAGCTACAAAGAAGGTGTTTTAAGAACAATGGTAATTAGTATTTCAATTAATTTAGCTAGGTATGTGGTGGATTCTCCTCCAGTTGAAATCTTTAATAAAAAATTAAGTATCTATCTAAAAAAGATACACTTGAACACAACTTTTAAAAAAAAGGAGTTGCAGCCTTGATATATTTGCCACATGGCATAAATCTGTGTAACCTGTTTAATGTAGCAAGTCAGATAAAGTCCTAATTCCATTGACTTACATGTTAACCATGTGTTTAAGTAGCTTCATATATTTCAGGACAAATAAGCCTTTTAAGTATGCTGGCCCCCTTAAGGAGCTTATCTGGCCTGAAATATACGAAAATACTTAAACTCATGGTTAACATGCAAGTCAATGGAATTAATCACAAGCTCAAGGTTTTGCATGTGATGAAATGAAATTGCTAAGTTGAGGGCCAGGTGCCTGTATAGGCTTCTAAAAAATAGGTAAGTAATTTTTGCAAGTGCTGAGAACCCAGCAGAACAGTTTCTATGTGGAAAGTCATGTTTAGCAACACAATTTTGATACCCAGTTGTTAAAAAAAAAAAGTCAAGGCCTTGTCTGAACTACAGTGTTTAACTATGCATATTAATCCAAAGCCGAAGGCTCAGGATTTACACAAAGTTCATCAAGTTGAGCAACAGGGGAGTCAACAGCATTGTAAGCCGTGGCTACCCCACAGCTCAGTATGTGTGCATACTTCAGATACCCACCACAAAGGATACATGTGCTAATTATCCCCAGTCATGACTGGAACCACATGTTCTTGTCATGAGTCCTAGGATCCTCCAAAAATGCATATGCAGATGAGGTCCAGGGCAACCTGGTCCAGCTTCATCACATGGGAGGCAGGGCCACACTATTCATATGCAGCAGACTGAAAGAAATGCTAAGAGATGGATTCTGGGTGAAAGTTGTGGCTCACTGTGACTGGAAGAAAAGTCAGTGGTGTGGGGGACTGTGCCATGCTGTGCTCAATGAGCACTACCATATATCTGATTCAGAACAACCTATTCTTGCAGTATGTTCCCATCAGTATGTTTGTCCAATATGGGCCATGTGTTTTACAGTCATGCCCAGTGTTGGCTGTATTTAAATCAGCTTCGTAGTTGGTTTCCACAATATACTTAGTAAGATTTTGTTCTATGCAATTATAAGACAAGAGGGTTTTTACCCTACATACCAACTGGGGGGGTACCTCATCTTGTATTCAAGCAAATATGGTAATTTATAGGATATATGGTAGATAAAAAACAAAGACAAAAAAAAATCACCTCAAACCCCCAAACAATAAAGTACATTAATTGTGAGCTCTACAGCCATGGACTTTTTTCACTATATAAAAAGAATGGAAGCCACCACACAGGTTCACAAATTAACCAGCTGTTTAAACAGCTAAACTAAACCCTGTTGCTAGGAGAATAGTCCTAGGCAATCAAGACCTGAATAAACATTTTCTTTCAAAACAGACTACAATACATTCTCACAACAGCAAACAGATAAAAATCTAGTGGCCTTAATGAAATATTAACAGTAAAGACTTGGGATTAGGCGGTCTACACACAGCCTGGTGCAAGGGTTTAACACTAATAAAGCATATAGATGTGTGAAGTCAAGATCAGTTAACAGAAAATAGGACAATTCTCAGATGAAATACAAATTGTTCATACGACTGAATGACGATGAGAGACTCCATCAAGTCTAGAGCCTGTACACTCACAGAAATAACCTGGCAATGAGACTACATTCCATCATGGTGAATCAGACAAAGACAAGCTGCTTTTATAAGTTTAGTGTGGCCTCACATACACCAAGCGCATTGCTTAGCCAACTGCAAGAAAGATATGACTAAGGATAGGTGACCCTTATAAAGCGAAAGAGCCAGCACCAGGATCAAAAGCACAAATACTGTTTACCTGATAAAGTTTACCCTTACAGGATTGGGCCCCTACAATAAAACCTGTTGAGGTAGGGACTGACTTTTTTGATCTCTAGAAGCACCACAAAAGCTTTAGGTATGTGTATAAATTAAATTTTCCAAGTCTCTAAATGCCCCAATTAAAAATCCAAACTAAAAATAAAACTAAATAAGTAAGTATATAGGAGCAAACGTATTCTGAAGGATACAAATTATGCAGATAAACTGGAACATTTAAATTGCCATTGTTACATAATTCCCAAGCAATTCCATTTTTACATTAAATGCAGCAACCAACAAGAGTACTCATTAGGAAATTTTATAGTCCCCTTAGCGAGACAGAATACTAGCTCTATGCAGGCAATTATTTTAATTTAGTACTTGGAACATATCTAGTTATCCTAAAGATACTGTCTGGCCTCACAATAGATGTCTTGATCTAATCTATCATGGAGGTTGATATCCACTATGCTGATCACCCTCAGGCACTCAGTCAGGCACATCTAGAAGCGTAATATGATCTATCCTCAGTGTAAAATTAAAGTATACTTGAACAAACACCAGCTAAAAGTTTACAGATATGGCATCCATTGAAAAGACTTCTGTATAGTGCAACCAACCTGTAGGTTTTCTAGCAGCCTGTCAGTGACTCAGATCCATGCTTCCCATTTTCATCATTACGGTCCTAACGACAACACATTGTCCATTAATTATTGAAGAAGGCAGGATAGACTTGCACCTTATAGACTAACCAAAAGAGATTGTGCTATTTCTCTCTCTCTCTGTGATGCACACAGACACACTAAAGCTTGCTTCATCAGATGCATTAATTATTGTCCAATATAACCCCCAAAATAAGCCACATATATAGCTTAACTATGACAACTATAATTACACAGCTGGATGGCTGTTAAGAGAAAACTGAGTGTTGGGGGCAATTTTGCTGCAATTAAGTGACAGATAAATGATGCAAAGCTACGACAGAAACTGGACTGCTCTTACAATTTTACATACCGTTCCTGTACCACAATGCTTAAAAAGACTGTACTTTTCCCTAAAAACACAAACATTTATCCAAAATTTATCTTCATTAAATTACACTTGTTTGACAGTAAGCATAAAAGATAAGTTCACTGCCAGCTCAATCCCAGCAGAGAAGACTGAAGTAAGAGTTGCAGCAGCAGAATTGTCAATGCACAAACTCACTGGTGCTTGGGAAATGTGACCCAGGAAGGAGTCACAGTTATAGCAGAAGTGATGATTCTGTCCACTCCCCAGGCAGCCTGTAAATCTACTCAGCACACACAACATAAGCTATTTTGTGCTCTAGGAACACCTCATCTCTCCCCTAGCTACTCTAACTCCTGACTATATCCTGAGACTGCTTCCACACCAAGGACTACAATGACACTGGCAAAGGACCATTTTGGTGCCCAATCATCACAGAAATTCCTTTTATGACAGAGGGATTCCCTCAAGGAAAATTAATCAGCTTTGCAATCTCTGTAACCCTGGAGAAAGGCATCACAAGTCTAGTACTGGAACCCTTCAATAGTACATGAGTAGCTTTGTGGTGGCTCTCTGAACAGAAATTAATTTTATCGTAGGTGTATTCAGTCTTAGTTACTTACATTAGTAGCTAAAAGATTTTATTGCTCCCTCTTATTTTACCCTACTTCTATAGGTGCAACTTTAGAGCTAAACTGTAATAGGTTTAAAAACCAGAATAGTTAGGCAAGTTCCAAGTACAGTTACACTCTTCTTTCCACAACTGTACAGGTCCTTTCAAAATAACTTGGTTGCACAGAAGTAAATGGATGTAGAACCTGGCCTATGCAATCTTCAGTGCTTGCCATGCTATGCCAGAGGCAGCAAGATGATAACTGAATATTTAAGAACCTGGATTGTACAGCTGACAGTTTTTCCTACAAGCATTAAAAACTAACCAATTCTGATCTTGAAATAACGGAGTCGATCTAGAAACCCATCATTGTTTTAGAACTAATACACAAGTAAAAGCTTCCTTTCTCTTTCCTACAAACACATTTTTAAACCTGAAAGACAATAACTGGGTCAGAACCTTTTAAAAGGCTACTGAAGACTGCTGATTAACAAACAGATAAGTATTTGACACAGATTTTAGATTTATATTTAATTTACCAATGTAAAGCTTTACAAAACAAGAGTTTACTTGCTTAAAATAATTTAAAATAAAACATTTAACATTAAATAAAGTAATAAATAACAACATGCTATGCTCCAACCCCCCCAAAAAGTACTATTGTGCACACATACTGTACCTGACTGCTACCATGACCAAAGGGAGTGCTGGATAAATTGGTGGTTACACTATGTAGAATAATTTCACCGCTCAGAGATCCAGAAACTATATGGCAGTCATTCCAATTAAATTTAACACAAGTTACTTCATCTTTGTGATCCTGAAAGAGAAAAGAAACACTAACTAAAATACAGTGCTGCAAAACATTCTAGCAGACAAAAGATTTTCTTCTATGCTTCTAGAGAGATTTCAGCTTCAAGCTTTCCTTTTGCAATATGAGTAAGAAAAGAAAGCTTTAATCCTGAAATACTGATAGCTCTTTGTAACTTCAGTATCCATAAAAAAAGCACATGTACAATTGCATCTTTACACTACAGTAACAAAAACTGAAGACTAGTAGCATATACTCATTTTGGCATGCCAAACAAATGCTTACTTTTTCAGGAGATTGCATTATAATCTAATTAAGAACAGGTTCAAATTATAATGTTAAACCAAATGAACTATAAACACATCCAACATGCTGAAAAATATTATATTCCAAATGTAATTTTTTTCAGAGACTTTTGGGTGCTTTATCTACTACTGCCAATTTCTCCCACTAATGCCTTTATCAAATCATCACTTCTTTGTAAAATCAGGCTAATGTGTTAAGGTGTTACATCTATGATTCTGATCTTCAGCCCCAAAAGAAGTTTAAAATCTACATCAATTACTTAGTAAAAGCCTTCCTGCCCCCCATACTGCAATTAAAAAATAATTAGGTAAATCCAAAATTAGAACATAAGCCTTGCTTTAAGATACATCTCTCATTAAGATCTTAGTCTGGCAAACACTTACACAATAGCAGTGAATAGCAACTTCCTTTGTAGTAATCCTCTTTACTTCAAAGGGACCTCTCTAACATGCTTCAAATTGGGCACCTCCTTCAGTGTTTTAGGATCAGTGCTGTAACATGGCACAAAACATCTGGCATACTCTTCTTAAACTGGTTTGTTTTATGATTTGACTGTTAGTTTCTCCTAGTGTCAAAAATTTTACTTCAAATATTTTGAAATCAAAGTTTGCTATACAGACCTCAACCCTGCAAGAGACTTGTACATGTGAGCAGTCCCACTAATTTTAACATAACTGCGTAGACTGTGTAAAGTTAAGCATTCATGCAAGCCTACAAGATCATGACCTTAAATCAGTGTAAGCAAACAAGGCGCCGCTAGAAAAACTAAATGTTCACAACCAACAGTGAAACCTAAAATATGGAGGTCTATATTTTTCCTGTGAAGCATCAGAAAAATAATAGGAATAAAAAAAAAAGGTATTACCTTAAGGCATCGATGTAGTCTTTTGGATTTTAAATCCCAGATATTAACTGTATTATCAAGGCCTCCACTTGCAATGTACATAGAACTAGAATTTAAGCACACACATGTCTGTTGTGCCTGATAAAAAAAAATTCAGAGGAAGAAAGAGCAAGGAATTGTGTCAGTTTATATAAACATCCTTATAACATACAACTTCAACTCTTAACCTATATAGGCCTATATGATTTCAGCGAGGCAGCTGGTATGCTTACCAGACTAGATGCTATGTATGCTAATGAACAAATATTAAACCTCACTCCCTGTTATTCCCTCTTTCAATTGCAAGCTATTGTTCATGCTGTTTCCCTTTATTTCAAAATGTATTTTCCTTATACTCCTATACTACAGCTCAGGAGCGTCAAAGATCTGGTCTGGGACTACACCCAGCCCACAGAGTCTTATCATCCAGCCTGTGGTGCTGCCTGTAGGTCTCTGGCGGCTCACATGTGCAACACATACTGGCCCTGCCCCTGTGTACTGCATATGGCTCACAGAGTCCATCTGATGCAATCTGTACATGATGCAAGGCCAGTCTGGGGTGTGTGCTACATGCACCACCTATGCCAGACTGGCCTTGCATATTGGAATTGGGGCTGGTCTGGATTGGGCCTACAGAATGGCCACCCACGCAGAATCCAGTGTGATCCCCACATTCAGTGAATACCCTAGAGCAGACCCGCAGACTGTGTGTGGGACTGGGCTGGCATGTGCTATATGTGGTGCATGGGGCTGGAGTTGGCATGCATGCAGCAGGCAGCACACACAGTTGGTCCATCGCACATGCTGCATGCAGTGCTTGCGCCAGACCAGCCTCACAGGCTAAATCCAGTACATGGGGCCAAGTCTATGGGCATGATACAGCTTATGTCCCTCATCCAGCCCACAGCGCCAGATGAGTTTGACACCACAGTGTAACTTCCTGAGATTGTATCATATACTTCTATTCAGGTGCAAGACTTTTCTTTTATATAAATCAAAATGTGTGTGTAGATATAGATATCCATCCCTAAATGAATGCTGCCATGTTATCTTTCCAAATTGATATTCCTTAAACATTATACAGAATATTATAGTAGCAAGCATCATCCTAGGTCTACAAAGTGCTACTTTTAAAAAATAAGTGCTACAGCACTGAGCTTGGAAAAAATGTCACTCAATGACAGATCTACATGAAAGACATAATATATTTATGATTCAGTATTATCACCTTCCTGATTCTCTTTGTAGTTCTTGGGACTGGTAAAAGTGTCCATTTATTTACCAGCATATTAATCCAATCAATAGCATCATAAAATTATAAAGGATTACATTTGCATATATAAGATACCTTGAATATGACAAACAACAGACATTCATATAAATATTTCAAAATTACATACTTGGATACCAATAACCCAGTTTTTACACACTTCCTAGATATTCAGGGTCCCATGAGCCTTACAAAAGTTACTGTAGTGGAGGACTCAAATAGAATACCTTATTCAACAGTCACCCAAGTCAAGGTTAGGATATTCCTCTAATTCGGTCCCACTATCCAAGAAAGTAAATTTTAGTGTGTATACATACTTACATACATATTTAAATAATTAAAAAGTAATTAAACAAATTATCAAAGCTGTCGTACTGAAACCAAGGTATTATTGGCTGCTTGTAGTCAGTAAATGCTATATTCCAATTTAAGCACAGACAATATGGTGGCGGTGCATACCAACCTCAACAACATTAAATATAACTGGAATTGAAATACAGTTGTAAGATAGAGTGCAAAGCAGATGTTACACCAAGACATAACGCAGATTAGTGTGCGAGAAAGAGAGGGGAAGCCAACACAGTATTAACACTTACCCCTTCCGCTAGTTCAAAGAGTGGAACAGGTTTACCCTTACAGCTTGAGACTACTATTTTATCACCACCATCAGATGCTGTGACCAGAAAATTATCTGAAACAGGAGTTACGGACCACAAAATATAAATCATGGAACTTCATACTGCTGCCAGCAAACAAGTATAATAACCATAAATGTAACTGTGCAAAAGGTTACTTAAAGGTCAAGTTACTATACCTTTAAATACACTTCCAATTGGAAACATTTTCTGATTTGCTCTTGGAACAGGGAAAAATATAAAGGACAGAGCATTTTTCATGCTAATGCTCTTTTATGGAATTTCATTAAGCAACAGTTGCATAACTGAATTAGTTTGTTTTAGGAAAAAGTTGTCTTGTATATCCCCCAACAAAACAAGGCAAGAGGAGGGGAGGAGGAAGGTATCTGGAAATGCACCTAAAGACATGGTCCTTTCTGCCTCCACAGCAACTCTAGCTACATGAAGGTTCAAAATGTTTTGTTTTTATTAGTAGTAAGTCTATAACTCTAACAGAAAAGTCCCATGCAGGATAGTCCGACAGTTTCTAGAACATGCAAGATTT